CTGTCTAGGAAGATACAACAAAATGTTAAAAGTGTTTTTCTGTAAACAATAGAATAATGGGTTCTTTTAAAATTATTTCATCTGTTTCTGGTTTCCCCTAGTCCAGACTTAACCTTTTTTTTTTTTTAGGACAAAAAAGGAACATTTAAAAGACTACTGCTGTAACAAATGACTTTCAAACAGATTTTTGAACTGTTTTGAAAATGGGTAACAGAAGGGGAAGTGGGAGATAAAAGAAGCAGTAATAGTCTCTTTGCTGAACTACTAAGACTTCCTGCCCTCATTTTCTGAAATAACTTACTTTTGTTTTTCTACTGAGTTCTATATCTGTCCAGTGTTTAGCAGTGTTTACAAACCCTGTGGAATAATGATCTATAGCGAACCTGGTACTGCACATATTAGGAATAACAAGATTGTTAGTTAAATCTTTGAAATCTGAAATCAACTACTAAAAAATTGAAAACAAAATACTATAAACTACAAATGGTCCCATTACAGATGTTAAGACATACTAGGACAAGCCAAGTATTCACTTATAAATGTGGTTGTCTAACAAATGTATGATATTTCAAGCAAAGTTTTAATCTTTAGGAATGACACAGGAATTCATGATGACAATCCTTTGGTTTAGATTAAACTACAAAACTCATAGAGAGCTGATGAAGTTTAATGGTATACTCTAAGGCAGTGTGCCTTGATTTTTAATGTGCATACATATCACACCTGGTAATCTTGTTAAAGTACAAATTATGATTCCATAAGTCTGTCAGGGGCCCAGTTCCTACATTCTAACAAGATCCCAGGTGATGCTTCAGCTGTGGTCATGGACCACGCTTAAAAAGCAGGGATCAGTGGGGTACCACTGGCCAGGGCTCAGCAAGGTCGCACCAAATATTATCTGAGCTAGGTACCAGGATCCAACCTTTTACTCTGAAAGAGCAGAAACTTGCTTTGGCAATGCCCTGAGAGACAGTGAGTCACACTAACTAAAAGATACCTGAAAAACAACACATTCATTTTAGAGTGACCCATAAGTGTACATGGACTGGAGTTATGGTGTCCCTCACTGTGGGCACTTCCAACACCTTTGATAACTAACATACAGAAGAATACCAATAACAATAATAATAATAAAGTAAAACAGACAAAGGACCTGCAAAGCTTAAGGACTAACTGGCCCAGTCTGTGGCAATGTCATCAAGGTAGTGCTACTATGAGATTATCCCACTGACATCGTTATGCGACATTTTCATCAGCTGGATTGTAGAAAGTAGAGACCTACTTTCTATGATCAGGAAAGCCAGCCCTGTAGAAATAAACAACTGATGAAAAACACAATAGAAGTGAAATCTAAAAACAAATACACAGAATTTTGGTTTTTCCCATTTATTTTGTTTTTATGGGTAACTGCCTAGTTATCAGTCACCAAAGGAAACAGTAACTCCATTGAGGGACAACTGTCTGTTTCCATGACCCTGTACAGTATTGCCAGGACCTAGAATTTCTGACCCATAAGAGGCATCCAATAAATATTTATGGAGTGAATGAACAAATGAGCACTTAAGGAGAGTAGGAGTTAATTTCTTTGGTATTTACAGTCTAATACCAAGATTCCAAGGAGCTTTTTTCTTTTTTTTAAGTTTATTTATGCATACAGAACTGGGGTACAGGCCAGAGGTGCAGGGGTGGTGAGAGGATTCACCAGAGACAGAGTCTTACTTTT